CACACACCACATAGTCACACTCACACACATACCACACACGCACTCACACCCCACACATACCACACACACACTCACACACACCACACACACACTAGTCACACTCACACACCACACACACACTCAGTCACACACACATATACACACATGCACTCACACTCACACCCCACAATACATATACCACACACACACACACACACACAATACACACATGCACTCACACACTCACATACACACACCCCACACATATATATACAACACACACTCACAGTCACACTCACACACACACCCCACACACATACACCACACACAGTCACACTCACACACATATACACACATGCACTCACACACCCCACATATACCACACACACTCACACACACCACACACACTCAGTCACACATGCACTCACACACATCCCACACATACATATACCACACACATATTCACACATATACACACATGCACTCACACACTCACATACACCCCACACATATATATACAACACACACTCACAGTCACACTCACACACACACCCCACACAATACACCACAGTCACACTCACACACATACACACATGCACTCACACACCCCACATATACCACACACACTCACACACCACACATATACCACACACACATATTCACACATGCACTCACACTCACTCACACACATACTCATTCACACATAAGCACTCATATACACTCACATACACACAAATGCACTCATACAGCCATACACATACACATATGCACTCTCACACACATACACACTCAGTCACATGCATACACATATGCACTCACGCACATACACACACTCATACACACAATTCTCACACTTACACACACTCATATCCACACACACAGATGCACATTCACTCTCAGACACAGTCACTCACACTCACACACTCATACTCACACTCACACATGCACTCACACATACACACACTCACACACATACACACATGCACACACACACACTCATTCACACTCACACATGCACTCACACACATACACACACTCATATCCACACTCACAGATGCACACATGCACTCTCAGACACACTCACATACTCACACACATGCACTCACACACACACTCACATGCACTCACACACTCATTCACACACACATACACACACACTCACACTTGCACTTTCACACACATCTTGGTCAAACTGATGATGCCTGCACAGCTTCGCACTGGCCTGAAAATCATGTTTTGCCAACATCAAGAATTTCATCAAGTGCTTCCTGGGAACAGTGAAGTCTGAAACACGAGTACTCAAGAGTACTCCCAAGAGTAATGCAAAACACCCAACTTGCCACCCCACATCCTCTCTGACATAGCCTGTGTTTTAAGGTATTTATTTATTGAAAGGCACTGTTACAGTGAGGCGGAGACAGAGACATCTCCTACCTACTGGGTCACTCCCCAGAAGGCACCAGGGGCTGGGCCAGGGTGAAGCCGGGAGCCTGGAGCTCCACCCGGGTCCCCCATGTGGGTGGCAGGGGCCCGAGTCCCTGAGCCCCCACCTGCTGCCTCCCAGCATACACAAAGCAGGAAGCTGGAACTGGGAACAGAGTTGAGACTTGAACCCAGGACGCCTTGATATGGATGGGGGAGTCCCAAGGGGTGTGTTAACCACTGCACCAGCTGTCTGCCCCCCAGAATAAAAGTTTACCTCAATCCTTAAGTTCCTAGATGGGACAGTTTCCTGTAAGAAGACAGATTAACAGCAGAGAAACCAGCAGGTGTATTAATGCATGCAGGGGCCGTATCACACAGGAGGCTTGGGCCTTACCTTACACAGGAGTTCAACAAAGAGCAATGGAGTCTAAAGAAGTGACGAGAGAGGAGGGCAGTCCTGAGCTTCAGCGGTGGGGAAGGTAAGCTGGCGGGAAGAGAGCCAGGTGTCTGAGCTAAGCGGGAACTCACATCTCACCTTTAGTCTGGAAAGCGGGGAGGCGGGGAGAGGGAGACCTGTTGTCTTTGGGAGCCTCTGTCCTGCTTGGAGGCCAACACGGTCCACCTGCTGTTTAGGATCTTCACTCTGACAGTCCTGCGCATTTGGGGAGAAATGTCCTGGCATCCTTCAGTTAATTAAGAGTCTGCACGGGATGCTGGCTCCACACAGGGCTCCTGGCGGCCACCACCAGTTAATGAAAAACGCGCGTCCTGAAACCTACAGCCAGCGGGCTGCAGACGAAGCAGGCTGGGTGCTGACCCTGCACTGCCCCTGGTGCTGGGAACTTCTCTGTTTCAACTTCGTCTTCCGTTTCAAGGGATGACCCTTCTAAGACTCACGATGCTGGAACTGACGCTTCCCAAACACAAGACCAAATTGGGTGGCTGAGACGTTATACTGGATGAGGCATTTGGTGCAGCCACTTCAACACCACGGCCAGCGACGTGCCCTGTCAGAGGGCCTGCCTGGAGCTCTGGCTCCGCTATGTCCCAGCCAGCTTTCTGCTCACACACACCCTGGGAGGCAGCAGGTGACGGCTCAGGTACCTGGGCCCCCGCCACCCACGTAGGAGACCTGGACGGAGTTCCTGGCCACTGGCTTCAGCCCTGCCTGTTGTGGGCATTTGGGGAATAAATCAGTCGATGCGAGCTCTCTCTCTCTCTCTTTCTCATAAAATGAAAACAAAAATGTTTTAAAGATGGGCCAGGTAGGGGCTGGTGTCACGGTGCAGAGGGTTAAGCCGCTGGCTGCAACACTGGCATCTCATAGAAGCCCTGGTTTGAGTCCCAGGCTCCACTTCCAATCCAGCTCCCTGTTAATGAGCCTGGGAGAGCAGTAGAGGATGGCCCAAGTCCTTGGGCCCCTGCACCCGCGTGGGAGACCCGGATGGAGTTCTTGGCTCCTGGCTTCAACCTGGCTCAGTCCCTACCATTGCAGCCATTTGGGGAGTGAACCAGTGGGTGGAAGTCTCCCCCTCTCTCTCTCTAACTCTGCCTGTCCAATACATAAATAAATAAATCTTTTAAAAAATAACATTTAAAAAAAGATGAGGTAAATAAAACAAAATATTATATCAAAGACACACATGGTTCTTTAGAACCAAAGATGATCAAAATTTCACTTAAAAGTTCCCTAGCCCAAAACAAGTTGTGTCCATCGTAAACATAGTTTTGATATTTTTAGGCCAATTGAAAGGAAACATAAGCGGTGGGGGCAGCACTGTAGTGCAACAAGTTAAGCAACACCAGCATCCGTATCCCAGCTGCTGCACTTCCAGTCCGGCTCCCTGCTAACGCACCTGGGAAAGCAGTGAGTTATGGCCCAAGTGCTTGGGCCTCTGTGCCCCCGGTGGGAGACCGCGATGGAGTTCCTGGCTTCTGGCTTTGGCTTAGTTGTTGCAGCCTTTTTGGGAGCGAACCAGCAAACAGAGGATCTCTCTTGCTCTTTCTCCATGGCTCTCCCTTTCAAATACATACATAAATAAATAAGGAAACATCAGCGTCGAAATGGACACTACTTAATATTCATACCTTTCCAAAGCACTTGTAATTTTCAAGTTTCAAGATACATTTTCAATGTTCAATACACAAATGCTGAAAGACAGGCTGCACGTCCCTTATCTGAAATCCCAGATTTCGCATTTTAGAAGACCTGCATTTACATAAGGAGCTCTCTTGGCGATGGGGCCAGATACCCTACACACAGTGCCTGAAGGTAAGTCTGCACAGTAGCCCCCGTGCACCTGCCTTTGGGCTGTGACCTCTTCCATGAGGGCAGGTGTGGCATTTTTCTACTGTGACCTCATAGCTGCACTTAAAACGTTCAGATTTTGGAGCATTTTAGATCTCAGGTTTTCTAACTGAGGTGCTCAAACCTGTATTAAGATAAAATATTTGGGGGCTGGGCTGTGGCGCAGAGGGTTAACACCCTGGCCTGAAGTGCCAGCATCCCATATGGGCACTGGTTCTAGTCCTGGCTGCTCCTCTTCTGATCCAGCTCTCTGCTGTGGCCTGGGAAAGCAGTAGAAGATGATCCAGGTCCTTGGGCCCCTGCATCCCTGTGGGAGACCTGGAAGAAGCTCCTGGCTCCTGGCTTCGGATCAGCACAACTCAGCTCTGACCATTGGCGGCCATTTGGGGAATGAACCAGTGGATGGAAGACCTGTCTCTCTCTCTGGCTCTACCTGTCTCTGTAAGTCTGTCTTTCAAATAAATAAAATAAATCTTTAAAAAAATGATAAAACATTTGCATCAATAAAGAAAAGCAAAACCTATTGATAAATATGATGAGGTGCAATACCAGTCAATACTAAAATAAATAAATAAAACCACAAACTTAAATCAGAATAAGCATAAACTGGGCACTTGAGAGTAAACCTACAGGCCAGAGTTGTTGGGTAGTGGGTTATGCCGCTCTGTGGGAACCCAGATGCCACACTGCAGCGCTGGCTCAAGTCCTGGCTTTGCTCCACTTCCGATTCCACTCTTTGCTAATGGCCTGGGAAAGTAGTGGGAGTACCACCCACATGAGAGACCCAGATGAACCTCAAAGTTCCCAGTTTTGGCTTGGCCTGGCCCTGGTTATGTGGCCATTTGGAGAGTGAACCAGAGGATGGAAGACTCTCTTTCTTTCAAATAAATAAAATTAAATAAATAAATAAAAAAAACCCATTAAACCTGAAGGCAAAGCTACAAAGCAGGTTCAATTTGAAGTGTTTGGGAAAGGCCACCCCCAACAGGACACACTGATGTGCTGCTAACTGAGGGTGCTGGGGAAGAACAGGTGCAGGCAGAGACCCTGCCTAGAGAGATCTAGAAGAAACCCCACCGTCGTGACTCCCTCCCCAGGAGTCTCAGCGCCCAGGGAGAATTAACTGGATGAACTGGTTCCATGGAAGGAAGCCCTGCAGGCTGACACCAGGCCTACACAATCCCTTGGTTGTCTGACGGCTGCTCCAAGACCACCTTGGCTATGGCACCCCCACAAACCCGGGCGCCCCGCCCCACACAGCAGCCAGCCACACACTGACGGCAGGTGGTAGAAGACGGTAGGAGTTTATTCTTCAGTGTGCAGGGTAAGGAGCTGGACAACCCTTGCTCAACCCTCCAACTCCCCGTGGGGTTGAGCGGCACCACCGGCCACACCTTATCCCAAGCCAGGTTGGCTTCCCGGCACGTTTTAGCAACTGTCCTTTTCTGGGTGTGGTCGATCTTTCTGGACTTCCCAGCTGACCAGGAGGCTCCCGAGCTGTGTGCACACTCTGTGTCAGGATGGCCTGATCCTGTAGCACAGACAAGAGCAGTGCTGGCCAGGGCACCGTCTTCTGTCTCCACGCTGTGCCAGCATCCACATCACCCACAGGTCTCCGACGTTTCTGTCTTGCCTTCGGCAAGTACAGTCAGGTCCCTCGGCCAGTCTTCTCCTGGTCCGACAGTCTCCATGGACCTTGAACTCCCAGCAGGAGAGGGGCTGCACCTGCCTTAGTCTGTTTTCAGCATAAGCCTTGCGTTTGTGCGCGGTCCTCTGCGCGTGAGGGTTGCATCCCGGCCGCGGCAATGGACGAGCTCCATGGCATCCTCCGACAGGTCCTTGGGCACCAGCAGTACCCATGGGTCATGTATCAGCCGGGTGTCGGGGTTTAGGTCTTGTGGAATGAAGAGCCTGCTCCTGGGCCTGGCCTGGGCCCCCGGGGAATGGTCTAAGTGGAGCTGTGTCAGGCTATATTTAGAGAGCAGCTCTCGTTTATTTATTTATTTGCTGCTGCCTCCTAGCAGTCAACTCTTGAGCAAGTCCGCAATGTGGGCTTCGAGGTCTGAGACACTGCCTCCAGGGAGCCTTACCATCTCTCGGGCACGCTTTGTTTCCTTTCCTGATATGAACGTGCTTCTGGTCTTCCAAACAGCCCGTCAGCCTGCAATACAAAAATAAACAAACGTACCTAGAGTCGGTCTAAACACGTGCTTCCTCACCTCTTCCAAAAGGTGGAGAGACGGTGAGGGCTGAGTCCGGCCTTTCCGGCGAGGCTGCCTGGTGGTGCTCCGCTTCCGACCGCTCCTTGTCCAGTTTTTCCACCTCCCTGGGCCGCGAAGCCACTTCCGCCCAGGACGAGGTCCGGATCTGGAGTCTCTAAGGGGACGTTCCCGGGCAGGTGCGGTCAGGCGCGGCCTGTTGCAATTGAACTTGCTCGGTAACCTGTAGGCACTCACCCACGCGCTCCCCACACAGCAGCCTGGGAGCTGGCTCTGCGGACGATTTGGCTCTCGGAGTCACACGTGGGTTACTGAACCCGACGGCCTGAAGCGAGCCAGGGCCGGCAGAAGGAGGAGAAGCAACGGCGGAGCGTGACTTCCCTGCCGGCATTCTTCCCCTTGCCCCTTGCAACCCGGTCCAGACGCAGCGAGGCTCAGGTTCCGCTGTAAGAAACAAAACGTGTGAATGTCTCCTGTCGGTCAGCAGAAGGGACAGCCTCGTTGGAGCTGGCAGGGCACCTTGCCCATGACCTGTTCTGCACATGGCCTTTTCGTGTCTTCGTCACAACTAAGAAACGCAACCACACGGTCCCTCTCTAGAATCACCGAGAACTTCCAGTTTAGACGCCACCTTGAAGCAGGAGCCACCGGGGCTACCTCCAGACACTGCCAATCTCCCCGGCTCCGTCACTTGCTGCAATCATTCAGGTTCAAGGTATAAAACCCCTGTCTACCCCACAGTAGTTCACCATTCTTTCCTTTGCTCAGATTCTCCCTGTCTAAATCCTACTTGCCGGCACCGTGTCAGCACAGGGTCCCTAAATGCATCCACTCAGCCATTCTAATCCATGTGAGAAAAACCGATCAGTACGGAAAAGACAGGCTAGGAGAAGCAAGCCTTAACTTACCCCTGGGGGTGTCCACACACACACACACACACACACACACACACACACACACACACGGGAGAAGTATTAGGCAGAGGAAGCGTACAAGAGAGCTATCAGGATTGCATTGGGCCTGGCCGTGTACACTGTGACTTAGAGCCCACAGTGATTATTAACTCAGGATGACCACACCTTAGAGGACCAGAAGACCAAATATAAAAAAATATACATGAACAAAATGGAAGACGAATGCAGATACACGCTGTGGAAAATGCCTGTGGTGGAGAGGGAGAAAAATATCGGTTGGCAATGATAAAGCAGCTCGTTCTGAGGGCTTGTATAGACGAGAGAGAGGGAGAGACAGAGACGGAGAGAGGTCTTCCATCTGCTGGTTCACTCCCCAGATGGCCGCAACCACCAGTGCTAGGCCAGGCAGGGGCCAGGAGCTTCGTCCAGGTCTCCCACTGGGCTGTGAACAGGGTGCTGGATTGGAAGCAGAGCGGCTGGGCCCTGAACCAGTTCCCCTGTGGGGATGCCGGTGTCGCAGGCAGTGACTTAACCCGCCACGTCACAACGCTGGCCCCAAGATTGTTCTGCGAGTGGATCACTGCACACATTCACAGATCTCGTCCTCTGGTACATCCAGGAGGCCACTAAAGCATGCAAAACAGAGACCAAGGAGGCAGCAGCAAGGCTCTCGCCAAAGCCTGGGGGTGGGCATTTGCTGTGGCAGGTGAGACACTGAATGAGATGCCCAGCCTCTGGCTAATTCACACCCTGGGAGGCAACAGGGATGGCTCAAGTACTGGGGTCCCTGCCAGCCATGTGGGAGCCCCAAATGGAGCCCCTCCCTCCTGGCTTAGGCCTCGCCCAGACCTGACTGTTGCTGACATTCAGGGAGTGAACCAACAGACAGGAACTCTCTCTGTTTCTGCCTTTCAAATAAAATGAAGAAAATTAGAGAAAAAAAAAGAAACGTCAGCATATTGCTCATGGCAGAACCATCTGGTTCTGAATTGGACTGTCAGGCCACCAAGCTTCTATGCTGGCATCTCCACTGAACACAGGGAATCACAATGGAGAACTGGGGCTGGAAAAGTGGTACCAGGAGGCTGGCACTGTGGCACAGTGGGTTAAGCTGCCGCCCGCGACATGGGCGTCCCATAGGAGTACCGGGTTGAGTCCTGGCTGCTCTGCTTCTGATCCAGCTCTCTGCTGTCACCTGGGGAAGCAGCGGAAGATGGCCCAAGTCCTTGGGCCCCTGCACCCACATGGGAGACCCGGAAGAAGCTCCTGGCTCCTGGTTTTGGCCTATCCCAGTGCTGGTCATTGTGCCCATCTGGGGAGTAAACCAGGGGACAGAAGATCTTTCTCTCTCTCTTTCATAGGATAAAAAGCCTTTTCTGAGAAACTCTTTCAAAATACACAATTTTTTTTTGACAGGCAGAGTTAGAGAGAGACAGAGAGAAAGGTCTTCCTTCCATTGGTTCACCCCCCAAATGGCCGCTACGGCCTGCGCGATGCACCGATCTGAAGCCAGGAGCCAGGTGCTTCTCCTGGTCTCCCATGGGGTGCAGGGTCCAAGCACTTGGGCCATCCTCCACTGCACTCCCGGGCCACAGCAGAGAGCTGGACTGGAAGAGGAGCAGCCGGGACAGAATCTGGTGCCCCCACCGGGACTAGAACCTGGTGTGCCGGCGCCGCAGGTGGAGGACTAGCCTAGTGAGCCACGGTGCCAGCCAAAATACACAAATCTTGCCGGAGGAAACACTGTTGTTTCTTCCGGGGCAGATCTGTGTTGATCGGATTCACACCGCCTGCCCTGGCCCCACTGACCAGGAGTACTGGACTCAGCGGTCCTACAGTGTGCCTGATGTCTGCCCCACACGTCCTGCCCAGCCAGGCTACAGAGAGAGAACACAGCCACACCAGGCCCTGCTATGGACAGGACTTGGGATGGCTCTATCCTCAAAAGCAAGCCGGATGGGCCAGCGCTGTGGCATAGCCGGTAAAGCCATCACCTGCAGTGCCGGCATTCCATTTGGGCACCACTTCGGGTCCCAGCTGTTCCACTTCCAATCCAGCTCCCTGCTATGGCCTGGGAAAGCAGTAGAAGATGACCCAAGTCCTTGGGCCCCTGCATCCTCATGGGAGACCTGGAAGAAGCTCCTGGCTTTGGATTTGCCCAGCCCTGGCTATTGCGGCCATTTGAGGAGTGAATTAGCAGATGGAAAACCTTTCTCTCTGTCTCTTCCTCTGTCTATAACTCTAACTCTCAAATAAATAAATCTTAAATAAATCTTTATAAAATAAAAAAAATTTTAAAAAGCAAGCCAGAGCACATCTCTTTGAACAGGAAACAACTTGAAAATCACTTCGCAATCATGGAGGGCCCTATTTGTATTTTTCTATAGTGAACATTTCACTACTACATGTAGTCCAAAGGATGGGCTACTCTTTCCAAAAAAAAAATAAAAAAATATTTGAGAGAGAGCAAGAGAGTGTGTGCCTGCAGCGAGAGTACCGGCATCCACTGGTTCACTCCCAGAAGCCTGCGATAGCCAGGGCTGGGCTAGGCTGCAGGCAGGAGCCTGGAGCTCCATCGAGGTCTCCCACATGGGCAGCAGGGACCCAAGGACCTGGGTCATCACCCGCTGCCTCCCTCGGCGTGCACTGGCAGGGAGCTGGAGTCAGCATTGAGGCCTGGACTTGAACCCAGGCTCTCCCACACGGCAGGTGAGCACCCCAAGTGCCATCTTCTACTGCTGCACCAAATGCCTGCTCTGAAGTTCTACTTATAAGCAATTTCTCTTGGTGCAATCTCTCAAGATGTTTGGAAGATGATACAAAGATAAAATCAAGAAATTCTGGCTGGCGCCGCGGCTCACTAGGCTAATCCTCCACCTTGTGGTGCCGGCACATCGGGTTCTAGTCCCGGTCGGGGTGCCGGATTCTGTCCCGGGTGCCCCTCTTCCAGGCCAGCTCTCTGCTGTGGCCCGGGAGTGCAGTGGAGGATGGCCCAAGTGCTTGGGCCCTGCACCCCATGGGAGACCAGGAGAAGCACCTGGCTCCTGCATCAGCGTGGTGCGCCGGCTGCAGCAGCCATTGGAGGGTGAACCAACAGCAAAAGGAAGACCTTTCTCTCTGTCTCTCTCTCTCACTGTCCACTCTGCCTGTCAATAAAAAAAAAAAAAAAAAAAAAAAAAGAAAGAAATTCTAACTTCTGGTTTCAAAAATAATTTTCCATACTCCAGCGTCTTTTGAAAGCACTGTTTCAGTTGACAACACTCAGCATTTCTCTAATCGCACAGCCACCAACTAAGTATTTTCCAAAAGTCACGTTTCTTTCCAATGGGTTCCTTCAGTCAACAACAAGTTAGTGAGCCCCCAATCTGCTAGGTGCTGGATGCAATGCTGCGATTCAAGTGGGGACGTAACACAGTCCACGCCCATCCAAGTTAGTGCACTGGGGGGAACAAAACTGAGCTCAATGCCTTTGAGATCCTCAGCGCCTGTCTGAGAAGGTTCTAGATCAGGGGTAGGGAACCCTTTTTCTGCCAAGGGCCATCTGGAGATTTTTAACATCACGTGCCGGCTGGTCATACAAAATGACCGACTTCAAAATTAGCCTGCTATAGATTTCCTGCATCTCAACGCCCCCTGCAGGGCCAGTTTCATGGGCCTTCTATGGCCTGCGAATCCCCACCCCTGCTGCAGACACTCTGGGAAAGGCCCCCAGATTTCCAGGAAAGTCTGGATTTCACAGGACAAGTAACTGCTAATTGTGAACACGACGGGTAACTTAGGGACACAAGCCTCGTCTGCAGTGCACTGAGCCGGTGCCTTCGACCCAAGTACCGCAGAAGGGCTGCATTCACACGCAGGGGCTGATGCGGCTTGCGGGCCTGGGCGCTGGCATCCCAGAGGGAGCTTCCTGCTGCACCAGCCCACTGTGGGAGGCATCCTGATGGACAGTTTGCTTTTTTAACAAAGCCACTCCCTAGCCGCAGTTCTAACCCTGACTCCACGACTGAGTTTCCAACCCATCCGTTCTGGGGACGCACCCAAGCACTGGCACCTGCGGCTCAACACATCAGGAGTCCTGTGGGCAGCCACAGGTAGTCACTCCCTTTGTTTACACTTAAACATGTGAATGGAGAGACTTCCCGGCACAGACAATTGGGCTAGGGAGATTCCGGGAAGAGGCAGGAAGAACCTAAACCTTTCACAAGAGATGATACAGATAATCAGTCACACCTGTAACCTTCATTTATCACCTAAGAGTTTTTATTGTAACCTTAAGAGCCGTTTTGATATGTAAATCTTTTGTGCTCCTTCTTGTAAACAACTGGTCATGTTTAAATACTACTGGATTTATTCAATAAACGAGCCTTGATCAGGACTTGTCTTGGCTCCATTCTTTGCGTCCTTGTCCCCGCATTCCCACTCTCTGTTTCAGGAAGACCCAGTTCATTGTGCCGCAGGCCGGCACAAATGGCGCCCAACGTGGGGCCTGAGAATTAGAGAAGCAGTGAGGAACCTGGATTCACGGAGTCGCGACTATAGAGGTATACAATTTGTGGTGAGTACCCGACACCAAAATTGTGGAGATTTATTTTGAGCAGGCATTATGGGACAAGCATCGGGAAAAATCCCCCAGTAGTAAAGGCAGTGAAGGCATTATTGCAGACGCAAGGAATAGGGTTTAAAAAGAAAGTAATAGAGCAATTTATAGAAACCATAGAAATTGCATGTCGTTGGTTTATTGAAGAAGGCCTTGTAGATGAGATGCATCGGGAGGACATGAGAAAATTGAGGAAGCCAGAAGCTGTGATGGCGAGGATAATCGATCCTGCCGATCCTCTAGTTCTATGGAAAAGGTTACTCCCTCCGCCCCTCCCTTTAAATTATTTATAAAAAACAATGATAAAAAATTATCCCTTTGTCAAGAAGGGGAATGTTTGCCAAATATCTTAAAAAGAGTGTCACTCAAACCCTGAGAAAAGCAGCACAGCAAGGCCAGGAGGAAGCCAACATCTTTTGATGCTTTTCCAGTGAGTATATACAGAAGATGGCCAAGAAATGCCCATTACCATCCAGTCCCCTATAAAATGTTAAAGGATTTAAAATCTGCTCGTGATGCATATGGGCCCACTGCTCCCTATACCTCTGGCCAGGAGAAAGAGAGAGGAAAAATTCCACAGGTATCTTGACTTAGAGAAAAGTCTTAATTCGATAACTCTTTCCAACCTGATAAATGTTTTTCCATCTTCGCAGCTTGTGGTAGTTCTGGTATGTCTTGAAAAGCTTTTGTATGCTATCAACTATCTGTTTTAATTGAGTGGTTGCAGTAGCCCTGATTGGATCTGGCTCTGGTTGAAGATCTCAACTTGGTGGCTGTGTTAATTAGACTAGGCGCTATGGAGGTTCCCAGCACTCTTGGTGAAACAGCGCACCTACCCAACCCCATGGCCAGCCCTGCTAGGCCCTGGCGTGTGCAGTCTTCCCTGTAAATGAGGGACCACAGCCTTTCTCTACACTCTATTCCAGCCAATGTGGCCTGCCGCACCCAAGCAGGCTTAGCCAGATATCTCTTGGGAAAGGGCTCCCCAGGGCCGCTTTTTTAGTCTCCATTTCCAATTCAATAACCTCCTCACTAGGAGGGGGGCAGGAAAAATATCTCTGGCTACTGCTGGCCTTACCTAAGGGAGCAAGAACCTTAATCCATTAAAGCTTTCCAACTTGATGGGTTTTTCTCTTTACAGTTAATAAAAACTTAAAGCAATGGGCTCATACGCTGATAATCAACTCTTTTCTGTACTGCTGTAGCTAACTTATCTGAGAGTTTTCATGTGTCTTGAAGGTTTCGCATTTTTCTATTGCCAGTATGAGTCTTGATTGGAAAAACTACAATACGAAGCTGTTTACGTTATTTGCCTGTCTTTAATGTTTGAGTGATTACCTAACACTGATCAGATCTAGCCCACAGCCTTGGTTAAACGTACTAATTTTTGACTAAAATGGTTTGACTCACTGATAGTTAAAATTCTAAACCGAGTCTTTCAACTTTGGGGCTTCCAGTCGGATCCCTGGAACTCTCAAAGGATGAGACTAACTTTGTTAAAGTAACAGCTGTTTGAGTCAATTCAAATTATACAAAGTGTATTAAAATGTAGTAAATAGTAAATGATGTCATATCTATGTTGTATTCATGTTTTTGCTTTTCAGCTAGAGTAGTCTTATAAAAATGAGAGTAAAATCTTTGTATACAAGCCTTTATGTTGTTAACTAAAGTAAGCCAATGCAGATTGGTTCAGAAAATTGGGCTAATGCAAACGCCCTTTGGTTTGCTTACTCAGTTTTACATGTCTTTGATACGCTTTAAACTTGTTTCTCTTAAGGATGAAGATCTTTTCAAAGTTGTAAATATGCACTAGTGACTGTGTTTGCTGCTCAAGTGGTGTTATCCTTATGTTACTTAAAAGCATGGAAATGTAATTTTGACTTTTAATTCAGATATTGGTGTGGTATTCATTAATAACTCAGTGTCTTAAGTTATCTAGGCATCGGTGCTAAGTAAAACATGAAAAATGTATTATGTGTACTTTTAACATCTTAAATTTGATAAGAGAGACTGTTTAAGTTTGTCAGCATGTATTCTCATAGGTTGTCCACACATGACAATTCAAGACTGTAAAACTAACTACAGGTATAAAGTTTCAGAAGGTGTGAGCAAGTCATGAAAAGTTGTAAAAAGTTTACGATTTTAAAACATTGTTTACAGAGTTTTCTATAAGTTAAATGTTAATGCCAAAATTACACTAACCTAAAGTTGAAGTATGATCTTCTGTTATAACAATGGGATTTTTTAAAATGTGTACTAATGTTAGTAATTATTTGGAAATGGTCTCAATCGTAAATCTTAAAATCTGTTGTTGCAAAAACTGTAACGTCTCTTTTTAACAGTGTCTGCTTAATCAGTTACTCTGCCATTTCTAAAGTTAGGTCGTGTAAGCTCTTTTTAACTCTGTTAAATAGTTCTGAGTTATGTGATAATTTCGTGTGCTAATTCCTACATCCAAGGTTTTTATTTCCGGTTTATTCAACAAGAAACATAGAATCCATATTCTGCCAAAGTAATCTGTGTACTCTATTGTCTGTTAAGTTATGATTGATAAAAAGCATTAAGTCTTAAAAAGTTATGTTAAATAACATTATGATCAGATGTGATCTAAAAGTGTTAAAATTGCCCTGACTAAATGTTAAGGAATTCTATTTTGACCAGATACTCTAAATTCTCTTGGCACCTTTAACAGACTTTCTGCAAATCAAAGTTTTAAATTTTCTGGACTTTTGATACCTCCAGAGGGCCCCTGGAGATGTCAAAAGATATATCTCTCATCTTGCAGAGATAATAACCAATTGGGGTGTTTAGATTAAAAGTGGTGCCAAGATGTGAAATGATGCTAAACTTCAGCTATAAACGTGTTTCTTTCTAGCTGCTCCAGTCTCTGGCTCAGTAGCCAGATCCTATAAAGAGGGACTGACAAAGTCTAAAAAGCGTCCCGTGGTCATGATTTGCATCACCTCAATGCCCAAACCTTACGATTAAGATATGGAATCACCCGGGAACAGGCAAGGCAAATTGTAAAATCCTGCCCTTCCTGTGTCACATTTCTCCCGGTCCCTCATTATGGTGTAAATCCTAGAGGTTTTATGCCTAATCAGCTTTGGCAGATGGATGTTACCCATTTTCCTG